CTATAGCCTTTTTATACTTTGGGAAAATATTTATTCAAAGATGCTTTTGTCAGGCATGATATAACTAAAAGGAATATAGACAGTATTATTTTACCTTCACCTGTCACTAATGCACTATAACATCATGCGGAGGAAATTATTAAGGACTTAAAATGAAGGGAAAAGTATCCCCAAAGGCCCTGGTATTTATCGTCCAGTTCTGGCTTTACCATCTGCTAGAGAAGTGAGATTCACATCAGCACCTCTTTAGAGAGGTGTTTTTATCCCAAGGGAAGCTTTGCAGCCCTGTGCACAGTTAATGTGGGAATCTCCATAATTCCAGGACTGCTGTGACAATGGATTATTTCCTGGTGTAATTAATAGTTTCTGAGATGAATACAAGCTTTGCATTCCAGCAGACTGAAGTTTACTGATTGAACGATTGAACCAAGGATGAAGACAACACACATTTGAAATCTCTGTGTTTCTCAGCTAATTAGCTCAGCAATGGGCTGGGCCAGCCACACTGAGGGTTGAACTGGAGTTCTTCATTTATTCACAGAACCAGTTCTGTATTTCCGGCTGCAGTGCAGGCTTCCTCACAGGACCCTGCCAGCGTGTTTACACCCTGACCTGGAGGGACCAGCTAAGGGTGAGAATGTTGATTCACTCTCCATGTCCATCTCATGTTTGGTTAGCTAGCACTGGCCATGCACGCTGGGGATGGTCCTGGGGTTTAAGTATCTAACAGATTACTCTCCCAGCTTCGAGACAAACCCATGTTGTCTGACAGCCTACCTACTCAAAGCCCCTAACCTCAATCTGCTGTACACTAGCTATAAAAAGTAAAAGAGCTGGACACATTTGGATTGGAAACCACATCACTTAGCAACTTATCCAGCCAACAGTCTGTTAAGATCCAAAAACATAGAAAGGCCACATCATGTTTTAAAGACAATGTCTTAGCAACTGTAACCCTCATCAAAGCAAGTCTTTCCCATAAGCAAATACACAAATATCTTAATGTTTACTTAGAACAGTCATCTTAAAGGTGGAGCTCCTATGTGCAAATCAGAGAGAAGACATTTGAGGCTGTTTCATTTTTTCAGAGATTCCAAAGGGGAGCATGTTTGTCTCAATCTGGGAATTCTTTTGATGACTGTTAAGCAAATTTGGTTACAGCTCCCTCATCTCTGCTGAGAAAAATTAAATGAAGGGGATATTTTTAAACATTTAAAATGGTAATTAACTATAAATATAAAATATAGCCTTTTATTATTAATTTGCAACAGCAAGTACATGAGTTTAATAAATTTTACAGGGACTTCAAACCTTACTGCCTGGACTACTAGACAGACAAGATATTTTATCAACTACCTGTTTCTATTGGTCATTTCTGGTCTTAGATCAGGAACAAAGACAGTCGAGAGTAGCTTAGAGCAAGGCCTACCATATAATGAACTCTAATGGATGTTACTCTTATTACAGTCCAAAGCAGCATGCCATATATTTTTCAAGGTGCTTTCCACATGTACCCACTTCCTATATTGTACCCAATTCCATGACTTGAATATACCAATAGGGGTAAACCAAAAAGGGAAAGCATTATGTCACTGGATGGCACTGGCTGTGACACCAGCTACCTAGAGCCCTGTCTACTGTAAGACAGTCTGTCTGCCTCTATATCCAGGATTTATCTTCAGCCCTACTGCCCCACAGTCAGACTTCTTTCCATTATCTGAGTCCTGCACACAGAGGCTGGAGGAGGCTTAAGCATTGGCTGGGATGGGCATACTGCCCCACTTTCTCTACCTGAGGTCCAGTCATCCCAAGAGCAGGGTCACATATTCACTTCTAGTTGAGCCAACACTATAGCTTGGTCCCTCATTGGTGATCTCTCTCTTGATTTGGCTCTTAGCAGATCTTTAGCTCACTGTCACATGTATGGATTGAGATGGGAAGGAGTGCTTTGTTATGAGACCCTTAATCATCTTCATGTATCCAAATCTTTTGTAAATACAATCTGCTAGCCTTATGCCAGGGCTTCCATTTCAATAGGCAAAGCTGGCTTCCTGGGCAACAGCATGGCACTCTGAGGGAGCTCCTCTTTGTTGTAGCCACCTCCTGTTGCCATCTTAAAACCTTTCATGTTGTTTAGCGTGGTGTCCCACATGCTTAGTTTGCGGTGGGTTCCATGATGGATTCAGCCCATTCTGTTGGAAGGCCTAGAATGGAGCTTGCAAATGCATATTTCCAACTGATACAGATACAGCCCTACAGGGAGAATATGTCCTCATTTCACAGCTACTAAATGAACTTTTGCAAAGACCACTTAAAGGAAAGAGGAAAGGGACAAGGCCACTCTTTCCTCGATCTGGTCAGATCCAATGAAAGCAATGAAAATGGAAGAAACACTGTAGAGCAACAGGAGCTAATGTTGTAATTATTCTTGATCCCACTTGTTTTGTTTTCTTTTCACCAAACCATTAAGCATGGTATTGCCTGTTCTGCACTTCCCCAACCACCAATGTAAGTATAATTCCTGTCTGTACACCAGGTCCATTACAAGTGTCTGAAGCATCTTGAAACAGTATGTATAGTGAAACAGTGTCAAAGGAAGTAATCTGAGAGGTGGCAAGAAGGAAAACCAGTTTAGTTTGTGGTGTAAAATATACAGATGCTCTGTAGGGGTCCATGCAGCCACTTGCACAGTGCTCCATGTGCTCTGAGTCTTTTAGCCCTCATAGCAGACAGAAATGCATTATTTATTAATACCTCATGGTAACACAGGGTAAAAATAAAAACCCACTCCTTCTGTGGAAACCTTAAATGCTCCCAATGTGACGACTTGAGAGAAATTACTTCCCTGATGTCTCTCATCTTTACTCACAACTCCTGGCTGAATGTACATTTAGACCATTGCCCTGGATGTTTCTCGTCTGCAATTTTGGTAAGATGATGTGTAAGACTTGAGCCAATTTTTTGTGGTGTCTGTGAACCTTAGTTCCACTAAATGTGACCACTCCCAAAACTCTCCTCCAAATTAAGAGAAGGCAAAGTCCAAATTGTACGTTGTTTCAGTTGGGCTCATGAATTGGGCAATGACTTAGACTCTCCTTAAAATATCCCATAAAACAAGGCTATGAGTTCCCAATATTAGGTACATAACCATGACTTATTCTTATCAAATAGAGCTAAGACATTCTCATTAATGACTGAAAAGGAAATGTCACCTAAGCAATGGAAACTAATGAAGTCAGGCAAATAATATGATCTATCGCCCTTCTGATTCGGAATTGAAGTCTGTGTTAGTTTAATGCATTCACTTCTTCTTGTGTTTATAGCAAACCTCTCCTAAGAAGAGCCACATCCCATGGTAATAGGCAACAGTTTGTCTGAATTCATGTTCCCCTGCCTAGAACTAAGGAGAGGGTTTTCTCTTTTAATTATATGCAGTTGTTGTTTCCCTCCCGTTTCCCAGCAAACAGTTAAGTTCTTCTTGATGGTTTTTCCCTTCAAATTCACTGGAGGCCCACAAGTCTGGAAAATCAGGCTCATGGCTATCCTTTGGCTCCTGCCCATAAGATTGTGTGATATCAGTTCAAAGAGGAGGCAAGCAGAGGCCTTATTTATTCTATGTGGGTAGGAAATGTCCTCAGCAAAAGTGCCAGAGCCCTGGCTGCCTCGGGTGACAGGCATGGCATATCGCAGATGCCAGGATGTTTTTCCCCTGGGTACTTAACCTTGCTGGAAACCTGAGATAAAGCTAGGGTCCCTATGAATCCACTTCCTTCATTTTGCATGCTAAAAACAATTTTGGCTAGGAGAGGATGGCTCTGTGTGTGTTTACCTTCTTTAAGACCACAAAGGATTTGTTTTGAAAACTGCAACAAACAGAAAGCAAAGACCAGTAAAAAGAAGCAAATAGGGTAGGGATGAGGGAAGACAGAAGCACACTGTGAAACTTTTAATCAATCTTTGATCATTTTTCCCTTTAAGATGTCAGGGCCACTGTTTTGAGGAAGGTAGAAAATAAAGATTGTTCCAGGTAAGGCTTTGCCCTGTCCCCATGTTCCTGGTATTCTCCTTTTCCTGTTCCATTTACATTTTCACTGTTATTTCTGTTGCTATGACAACTCATACGTGCATATGTTAATACTATGTGAGATAATGCCATAGATTGTGCTGCAGATGTACTAGTGCCTTGCAAAATCATGTTCTGTGTATTCATATACACTGCCATGTATTTATCTTTTTAGCCATCTTTTCATACATAAACACATATTCCCACCACTAGTATCATTGTCTCCATCACAGGAAGAATATATTTATTTTCTAAGTATGCTACAGGAAAAGAAAAGAAGTTTTCCTTAAAGCCACAATGAACTCTAAGCCTGGATTATTTTTAATTCAGGAGATTAAGGAAAGCAAAAAAAGAGTCATCTGGGTTGTTTTTTTTTTTTTTTTTTTTTTCCTTTCTTAATCAATAGTGACCCCCAGGGTTTAACTTTTACATTTAATGAGGCATCACTCCCTCACTCCGTTGGGCACTTTAGCCGTGCAAGGTGATGACTGGGCTCCATCTCTGTTTATGTCCTGTTTTTGTTAAATCTGCTAAGTTTCATTGCTCTCCGCCAGCAGGCAGCGTTGGCGAACACAGGCATGTGTGTCTCCACCCTTCTAGTTGACCTTTGTTTTATAGCTTTTGTTAGCTTTCACTTCCCTCTGCTGGTTGAACTTTGGCAACTACAGCAGATTGTTATTTCATCCTTTGCCTCCTTTGCAGGCCCACATTTCTTGTTGCATTTGTTGTGTTTTACTGCCATCTTGTGATCATTTTATGGAAACGCTTTCACATTATTGATGGCGATGTGTTGGAACTTTGCTCAAACGGTATTTTTGTTTCAGCCTCCATATCCATGTACTTGAAATCTGCCATTACTTGAAATCTGCCATTGACCACTCATTGTCTAATGTTTGAATCTGATCATACTTAAACACCTATAATTGTCTTATGCCAGGAGCCCTGACATGCTGCAGTCGGAAGTTTCCTTTTCCATGGGAGGGAGGCATTCATCTACAGACTCCAACAAGGCCTCCAGCGGAGACATCTCCCCTTATGACAACAACTCCCCAGTGCTGTCTGAGCGCTCCCTGCTGGCTATGCAAGAGGACAGGGCCCGGGGGGGCTCGGAGAAACTTTATAAGGTGCCAGAGCAGTATACACTGGTGGGCCACTTGCCATCGCCAAAGTCGAAGTCAAGAGAAAGTTCTCCTGGACCAAGGCTTGGAAAAGGTAACTGAAGCTTGGCTGTGACAACCCAAAAAAGTATCTCCCCTCTTGTGGTATGTTAGATGGGGTGGGTTATTTTGGACTATCCTCATCAGACCCTTTGTTGGATGTTTCTTCAATTCAAAGAACATTTGCTGAGTGTCTGCTCAATGTTCAAGATAGAAGAAAAGAATGGTTGTTGTCATAGAAGGGTCTTACAACTTCTGATTCTCGAATATCTGTGAAGTGAGCAAATGCTCAAAGGAACCACTCATTTTCCCAATTGACCTTTTCCTTTTAACATCCAGGGGAGTCTTTGTCCCTGCTAGTGGATTTGGTTTGCATATATGATAGTCTGATGCCACTCAACTACTTCTGTCATTTTCATAAAGGAACGGTTCTGAACTTATCACACAACAAGGCAGTGTGCCAGAACTAGACAGTGACAAAAACACTAGACTAGAATCAGAATAAAGTCCTGCAACTTACAGCTTGCAGGATCTCAAAGGAATCATTGATCTCCACAGAGGCCTATGGACTCCTGATAAGATAACTAAGAATGGTACTGATGTCTCATATATTGGATTTCATTAGTGAATCTACATGCAGTTGTTATGGCAACACTTAGCATGGACTAAGCCCTGGCTAATCTATGATGTGTAACCTTGTAGGCACTTCTGATCTCTTGTTACTGTATATCTGGTCTGTCTCATGATCTTCTGATACCCTGTAAGGAATGAAGGAAGGTATACTTCCCAGAAACTAACAAACGTTTGGAGACATCTGGAAGACCTCTGATTCCAAGTCATAATGATAGTTTCAGCACAGGCTTGGAGGGAGGAAAACTTGAGTTGAATACATCTACTATAGCATCTTGCTACATAGATACATATGCTCCCATTGAGGGGAGAAGGGAGGAGAAAGAGACAAACACAGGAATAAATCTGCTCATGCCAGGACAGTGTCCCTGAGGAGAGTTCGTTCAGAAACCAGTACTATTGTCCCTGCATGCTTGTTCCTGTAGCCAGAGCCCATGTGGCAATCACCAACTGCCCCCTGGTATGAGTTTATTATTATTGTTATCACCCACAATGAAAGCAACACCCGATCAGCCCTCTTATGATTTGGGGTGTCAGAAATCGAACTGGTGCACAGGGCTGCCCGCCTTCTGTTCTGGAGGACCTGAGGAACAGTCTGTTTCCTGCCCTCTTCTCGATTCTGTAGACCTAATCTCATGTCTGTTTCTTCCATGTCTGAAGCCACTGACATAACAACATCCTCTCTATTGCTTCCCTCTTATAGGGACCCTTTTGATGATATCTGAGCTGCTCAGGTCCTCCAGGAGAGTCGCTTAACTTCAAGAACCAGGGGGATATGCAAAGTTTATCTTTAGAGGTTCTGGGGGTTAGGATACAGATTTCAATAGTGAACATCAATTCTGTTTACCGGAAACATATGAAAAGAGCATTTTTGTCCATCTCCAACAGAACAAACTTCTTGGAAGGCAATTCCAAATAGTATTGTTTTGCATGTAGTACAACCTTTAATATGATATTTCGTGCCAAAAATGTAATGCTATTATGTATTGGTTTCATTCTTAATTTTTTCTGTTGTGGACCCTTTTATCCTCTTTCCTAGATATGTCAGAGGAGCCTTTCAATATCTGGGGAACTTGGCATTCAACATTAAAAAGTGGATCCAAAGACCCAGGAATGACAGGTGAAGTGCCATTTTTTAAACTTCCTTGCATTAACTTTAAAAATGGATTTTCCTCCAGTTCTTACTTGCTATTCTCGTGGTTAACTGCCTGCCAACCATTATTCAGAAAATGCTGAAATGAGAGGGGAAAGGGGACCAAAAAAAAAAAAAAATCTCTCCGTGGGCTTTCCACCCCACTTGCTAAGCTTGGACAGTAATTCATTGCTCTTCTTTTCTTGTAGCCTAAGTTGTCAACAAGGCAGTTTAGGTAGTTGGGCAGCTCAGCTAAGCCTGTGAGCGTCTAGGAATATGCATGGAGTGGCCACAAAAACGGCGCCACTCTCAACAAGAACCTGCCATTGGTCTTGCTAGGGAGAATTTCTTTTCAGGTAACAATAGCTGAGAGTGTGCTGTACGTTTTCAGCAACAGAGACAGCAGTGAAAAAGAAAAGATTAAGCCACCAAGCCTCAAGGCAATTGTCCAAACTAACCCCAGTTCTTGCCTTTCTGGTTCCAGGTTCCTATGGTGACATTTTTGAAAGCAGCTCCCTGCGACCGAGGCCCTGTTCCCTTTCTCAAGGGAACCTATCCCTGAATTGGCCTCGGTGTCAAGGGAGCCCCACGGGGCTGGACAGTGGGACTCAGGTCATTCGGAGGACTCAGACGGCGACCACCGTGGCACAGTGCAGTGTCCACCTTCCCGTGTCGCGTGTCTGCAGCACTCCCCACATCCAGGGCGGCGGCAGGGGGTCCAGGCAGCCTGCAGCCAGGTCTGAGCCATTTTTGTCCGTAAACAGTACGGAAGACCTGGCCGAGGGTGAGGTGGAAGAGGCCTGGCTGCAAAGCCAGGCCCAGCCTGTGTACCAAAAACCTCAGGAAAGTGGCAGAGATGACAGGCGCCCCCCGCCTCCTTACCCGGGGTCAGGGAAGCCTGCCATGGCCTCCTCGGCCCAGCAGCCCCAGGAGCCTCCCCTGTGGAGGCTCCAGAGGCATGAAGAAGGTTCGGGAACAGCTGCAGAAGAAGGAGGCCAGCAAGCCTCAGGAGAACATCCAGCCAGGCCAAAAAAACTGAGCAGCGCCTACTCCCTCTCAGCCTGCGAGCAGGACAGGCAGAACTTGGGGGAGGCCAGCTGGCTCGACTGGCAGCGAGAGCGGTGGCAGATCTGGGAGCTCCTGTCAACTGACAACCCCGACGCCCTCCCGGAAACCCTAGTATGAACCTGCCCGCCAGCAGCTGGAGCCCGCCCTCCCAAAAAAAAAAACATCCTCTTCCGGCCCAGACCCGGAAAACTTGCCGATGGACAATTGGACAATTATTCATTTTTATTTTTCTTTTCGTTTTTCCACACTTTGAAAAATCAACACAAGAGAAAGTCAGTCCACTTACAGAGAGACACTCCTACCCTTGCCATTTATGATAACATTCTATTGCGTAGCCAGCCTTAGGGGAAAAAAATCCCAAACATGACAATACCCAATCTCAAAACTACCCACATTGGCTATATATAAAATCAAACTCTTGCTTTGGTATAGCTTAATTGTATTTATGTGTCTTCAATTTTGACTATTGTATATTCTGTAACAAATTATGTGTGATAATCAATATGATAATATTCACAGAGAAGACAGAACAATTTTAAAAAATCACTGCACTTATATTACACCATGAGATATATTAAGCAACAAAATTCTATAGAATATTCTAGAATATGCACAAGCGGGTTTCTGTGCTTTTTGCCATCGCTTTTTCACGGGGACAGCCCTCCCTTCAATGCCTAAGAAAAATACTAACCAAACAAAACAGAATGTGAGAAGCCATATTTTTATACAGTGTTGAGAAGCAGAAGTTATAGTCACTGAATGCTTTTTCATAGTGAACAAGTTTTAAGGAAATATTCAATTTGATATGTTTTGGAATATATTTTTAGAAACTGTTTAGAAAGGACTCAGCAAATCATAGGAGAAAAAGGCGGTGCCTAACCGTACTTAAGAACATGTCCATCACATTCTAGGTTAAATTCAGTTTTATATAGGACACTTATATATTTATAATGTGTAACTTTTATGTATTTTTCAAAACTACAAACTGGAATCCAACTATAAAAAGTTTTAAAATCCAAATGAATACACATTCACATTATACAACACCATTCCCCCCTCTCCCCAGTTATCAATATTAGCCCAATTACAAGCAATTCCTTGTAAAGTAAATCCTATCTGGGGGGGGCAAAAATCAGCTACATCTTTGCGCTTACATTTGCCAAAGGCTGAGGAAACGTGTCTTGGTAATTTTATGTGTATTGTAATGTATGTGTTACTACTACTACTACCTTACTTCAACAATTTGAAGTGTTACAACTGCAAAACCACTTTTGACCAGCAGGTGGCAGTTTGCTTCAGTATTTTCTGACTTTTTTCACATCAGAAGGGACAGTGTACTATATACAAAGAGGGTTATATATATATAACGTGCTACTCTTAATTTTCATGTTGGCAATGAAATTTTTCAGTGGTGTTTCTTAAAATTCTATCTTGTGCCATGATAAATAAAAAGTTAAGCAAAGATTCGTTACCAGCCTTTAAATCTAATGAAGGAACTCACGCCCCATTCCAGATAGATAATTCACTACTCACAAGTTCAAGTATATTACATGTTGGTAATTCAATAAATACATGCATACAGTTAGAAAGCTAGTTTTCAAAATAGCTGGTAGCTTGGGGACATCAATCAGTGATACGGAAAGATGTAGAAATCTACAATGATCTGTTGTAATTAAAGTCTGGTTTTCTTGTCACTGAGAAAGTGATTTCATACCTGACTGACACTTGGGTTTCATGCCTCTTGGGCAGGTGTAACTCAACACAGCTGTTGAAAGTTGTGTCTGCTCCATAGGTCTCAGATGCCTGATTAGTTCTAGATATGGACTGCAGTGGCTTGGCGATGAGTTGAATGATCTTTGGGCCCAGTCACTGGGCTCAGCACTTCTGCTATTGTCTCAGAACACAGAAGATTTGTCTGAAGACCTCAGTTATTCCTTCCAGACCCCATTCAGACCAAAAATACATACCTCACAGCAAATGCTATTTGATTGTAGTACTCGAGTGGCTTTTCTATGTCACTAACCTTTCTCCCAATCCTTTGAATTTGACCATGGCCTGACAAATTCTTTCTCCTTTAATGAACCTCCCTCTCACCATGTCTATTCTGTCAAAGTTGTCTTTCTAAAAAATAAAAGGGGATATTATATATATATATATATATATATATATATATATATATATGAATGGAAGGTATATCTATCAGTTACTAGATCTAAATTTGACAGTGTAGAAGACACTACATTATTTCCTTGCCCACTTAGGTTCTGTGCCCACATCGTTCACTTCTTTGATGAGAGTTTGTTTCTCAGATGCCTTTATCTCATTGCAAATATGCCACTTTTAAAAGATACATGAGGCCTCCCAAGATGGCTCAGTAAGTAAAGTGCCAGAACCCACATCAAAGCTGGACACAGTAGCGCAGGTGTCTCTAGTCCTGTGTTCCTATAGGACATGAGAGGTACAAACAGGAGAATCCCTGAAAGGACATGGGCCAGCTAATGTGGACTATACAGCAGTGAATGACAAGAGAGACCCTATCTCCAACAAGGTGAGTAACAAGGACTGACACCCCCAGTGGTCCTCTGACCTTGCTATATGCGCTGTGACCTGCACACACACACCCCAACACGCATGCGCCATTATACACATCATAGATACAATCTTTTAAAACACATATGAGACCCCAAAACTGTGTAGAAATTGAGGCCGTTTTTCATACTGTATAACATGTGATATGATGCCTGACGAGAAAAACAAATGTCAACTTGGACAAAACACTTTGACTAGGATGTTCAAGTCACTCATTCCTCATGAGGAAAGGGATTCTATGGGCAAGAAGAAAGCTGCCATGGGCCACAGATGCCTCCATGTCTATGAGTACTCAATCACTTTGTTTTTGTGTCTCTGGCAAAGAGGCCAGAATGGTGATGATAGAAATAGCCAAACACACATTTGTCTTGATCCCTCTAAGTAGCTATTAACATATGTTTGTTGTGGGTTTTGATAGCAAAAACAACCATCTGATGCCAATGGGGGGTGTGCAAATAGAGGAAATTTATAAATAAATCCAGCTTGCTTCTTTTCTTATGCACATTTTAATACACATCTGCTTGGCAGAGAAACAGTGCTGGGATTGAATATAAAGAGATACTAGAACAAAGTGGAGGCCTGTGCTGTCTGCTGGTCTGATAAGCAAACAGCAGGAGGTAGATTTTACTGAACTAAGAAGAAAGGATTTGTCTGCAGAAGAGTCACACAGAGATGAAAACAGGATGTCTTGACCAGACAGAATTGTAAAACAGCAGCAAGTGTTCTTCAGGACAAAAAGACAACAACCTACAAACCAAAGGAAAGTTCTCCTCAAGGATGGCAGCCTAGAGACTCTGAGCTGGCATTCACGATCCCCACCTAACACAGCCCTCAATCTGCCAAGGGGTAGAAGGTAGGTCAAGCAATGTTCAGGTAGCTAAGAGCCCTTTAGTTTACAGAGACCAATCCATCCTAGTTTGCTGTAGCTGTTTCATGTTTAGCAACGGAAGGTCCCAAGCACAAGCCCTTGCTCTTTCCTATCCGGGTGGAGACAGTTGGGCTGAGGATATAGGACACTTGACCATGGTACTTCTCAAGTACAATTACCAAATAAGATCCAGTGTCTACTCAATTTGAAGGCTTAACAACAGATCACATATTAGTCTCAGTATGTCCCATGTAAAATCTGGGATACACTTATACTCAAATAATGGTTCATCCCATGAAGTTTTATATGGGATATACTTATATTAAAAAGAAAGTCTATGTCTATCTGACATGTATTTGGTAAATCTGGCAATCCTAATCTCTAGCCTTCATATCACACCTAGCTGTCAATGCCCTGCTTGAAATTCTCAATGAATGTCCCACAGCACCTCAACTGTTCTGAAGGGCCAGCTCTATGTCTCTACTGCTACCCTGAACCCCAATTTCACTTTGTATCACCCCACATCTTTGGCTAGGGAGCTTCTTTTTTCTGTGTACCTGAAGCCTCACCTGGTGTATTGGTCATCATTGAGCCAAATTCCCAACAGACACAATTCAAGGGAGAAAAGACTTATTTGAGTTCATGGTTTCAGTGGGAACACGCCACGATGGTGGGAAGGCATGGCATAGAGAGTAATCTGAAGAGTATGTGGATGGAACTCCTCACACCTTGGCACCAGTATCAGGAATGCTGGCACCCTACTAGCTTTCTCCTTTTCCTCCTTTTATTCTGCCTGGGTCTCCCAGTTCATGATCTGGTGGTACTCACATTCAGGGTAGGTCTTTACTTTCAATTAATTCTGGTAGTGCCCTCAAAGACATGCCCAGAGGTGTGCCTAACCATCTCCTAGACCAGTGGCTCTCAACCTTCCTAAGGCTTTGACTTTTTAATACAGTTCCTCATGCTATTGTGACCCCCTCCCCAACCACAAAATTATTTTCGTTGCTATTTCCTGTCATTTTGCTACTGTAATGAATCGTAATGTAAATGTCCGATATGCAGGATATCTGATATGCGACCCCTGTGAAAGGGTCATTTGCCACCACTCCCCCAAATGGGTCGCAAGCCATAGGTTGAGAGTCACTGTCCTGGGTTATTCTAACTCCAGTTAAACACTCCTGTTTCCCTTCATGTCATTTACATCTTTCACCTAGACAAACTTATTTTCCTTCTCATGCATCCTCTAGATCCATCCTCCATGTCTTATGCTGATTCTTTTGTGTTTTGTTTGTTTTTTGAGACAGGGTTTCTCTGTGTAACAGCCCTGGCTGTCATGGAACTCACTCTGTAGACCCTGCTGGCCTTGAACTCACAGAGATATCTGCCTGCCTCTGATTTGCCTGTCTCTGCCTCTAGAGTGCGAGGATTAAAGACGGGTGCCACCCTGCCCAGCATCTTACTCTGATTCATATTCCCCTCTCTCTTAGAACTGTACTATCCTGGCATCTCTCCATACCCTCTCACCACCACCCCCACTATCACCATTTATAGTTCTGACAAAGGCAGTCCCTGCCAGTAAGGACTCGCCTTCTCCTCTGGTTTACAGACAAAAATCAACTCCACAACAGCACCCTCTGTAATAAGACTTTTTCTTTCCTGCCAGCCAGTTCCCAAATAATGACAAGAAGACTTTTTATTAATTGTGAAAGCTTGGCCTTAGCTTAGGCTTGTTGCTAACTAGTTTTTATAATTTAAATTAACCCATATATTTTAATCTGCATTCGTTTACATGGCTCAGTTACCTTTACTCTCTGCTCATCCTGCTTCCTCTGCATTTGGCTGGTGATTCCACCTTTCTTCTTCCCTGAGTCCTCTCTGTCCCTCTTCTTACCTAGCTATTGGCCATTCAGCTTTTTGTTACACTAATCACAGCAATACATTTTCACACAGTGTACAAATATCCCACAACAACCCTCTACAGTATCTATCTGCAGATTCTCACCTCTTTGCAATGTAGAAACCCATACTGTAGTTATGTGCAGGAAACTCCCCATTTCTACAGACAGAACACAAGGTCACATTTCTGTTCCATAGAGCCCAACTGTTCTTCCTCAACTATCCTGTTCAGTTGTACATCATTTTTTGAACAGAATTAGCTTAAAATCTCTCTTTAGACAAATACAGCAATAGAAGTTCCTTCTGGCTCTTTGCATAGGATTTACCTACCTTGATAAGCATCACTACCCATCAGCATCACTGTCTGTAGCTTTATCTGAAGGCTCTTTATCTTCGGATGGTGGCTTTGTGGGTTTTGTACCTTTTAGACTGGGCAGAGAGATGTGACACCTATTTGGAATATGTTTGATGAATGCATTCTGAACATAAGCATGTTGCTTTTAATCAAGTAACTTGTTATGTGCAATGGAAAACCACAGAAGGCCATCAGCTCCTTGAAAATGCAGACACAGGTGCAATTTCTATAGAAAAAGGTTTGAGAAGGGATTGACAAGCATGGAGATGCTATCTTTTGAACATCACTGCCCTGCAAAGACTCTTGGCACCCTATCTCTGTGTTGTACGGGACAGTGAAGAAGCAACCCATGCTGTCACTCTGTTCCTAATTGAAATATTAAGGGATGATGAGAGATGGCTAAGTGGGTAACTACATCTGCACAGCTCTGGGGAAATTATCAACACTAAAATGAGACTTTCCGGTGATACAGTTGTTTGAGGGGGGGCCACCTATACCCTATAAATAACCCCTCAGCCATGCCCTGTAGGCCTAGTGAACTCTTTGGTTCACCTAATAGTCTGGCCTTCCGTGGAACTGCACTTTGTCACTGGGGACTTATAAGGAGGGGACAGACATTTGTTTACATCTCCCTAAGAACAGAGTTCCCTGTAACAGACAGAATCACTTGCTGATAAGCAAGCAGCATCTTTGGATTTTCTTTTACTTCAAAGTATGATGGCACTGTGATCACTTCAGCGGATCAAATGATTAGTTGATGGCTTCACTTAATGATCTATAGGCAATCTATCTTTACTGGGGCTTATTGGTCACCAATTCCAGTCCCAGGCTCCTGGGTTTGAAAGATATAAAGGAAGTCTAGATACACCTTTAAGGATCTCTCAATCAAGACAAAGCCACTCTTTTTTCAATTGTTGAAAAAAAAAGACTGAATTGGTGAATTCATCCACCTATTCACCTGTCTTTTCCAGAGTGAAAAGTCAGAGAGACATAACTATGATAAAATGTTGCCTGCATTCCAAAGCCTCTGCAGTAAAGAGTGTTCCTGGAAGTGGAACAAATATCTGGGAGAACTGGTCAAAAATAAGGGATATTATGTCTGCGATCAGGGTGTGCTCTGTGGCTTTGCGGTCTTCCAGTTAACTAATTTGGATGCTGTCATACTGCTTCCTTGAAATGTTAGTTCTTTTCAACAAGCCCTAACTTCCACTGTGGACTTTTCACTGGACTCTCCAAGTTGTCACATACTCTGTTGAATAAAGAGAAGGACCCAATTTCAGAAGAGCAGCCATTTGGTATATAAACAACCCTGGAGCCAGGGAGGGAAAAAGGCCTTGACCTGAGACTGTTTCCCAGGCCAGTACTGAGGAAAGAGTGGGAGCCCAAGCTCCTGACTCTTCCTCAGGACACTTTCCCATCTGAAAGCCCAGCTAAAAAACTACTCTATTCCATTCCAGGGTGCACGTATTACTTCTGATACACAAAAGCCATCCTACCTACATCCTTCCAGTCTTCATCCTTCCCGTTTCTAGCCTTGCCATATTTCTGCCTACTTACTTTGGAGTCCCAGTTTCTCTATTAATTTTAATGTGTGGTTTTCTTGCTGCTACAGTGTTGCATGAATCCTAATTGGTCTTAGTAAAAACCCGGAGCCAGATATCAGGGTGAATGTTGAAAACTCAGAGAAGCAGAGCAAGCCACAGCCACCACCTCTTACCTCACCGACTCCTCAGCCTGCAAGAGCGAGCCGAGTTCCTGTCCCCTCCCACCTTATAGTCCTTTCTTTGCCCAGCCACATCACTTCCTGTTTCAACCTTCCTAGTGCTGGGATTAAAGGCATGAGATCCCAAGTGCTGGAATTAAAGGTGTGTGCCACCACTGCCTGGCTGTTTCTCTTTTAGACTGGATTAATCTCATGTAGCCCAGTGTGGCCTTGAACTCACAGAAATCCAGACAGATCTCTGCCTCTGCGTCCCAAGTGACATAACTATTAAAGGTGTGTGCCACCACTGCCTGACCTCTGTGTTTAACTCTGTGGCAGGCACTGCCCTCTGATATTCAGACAAGCTTCATTTCCTAGATTACAAACATATCACCACACTACAGCCTGTGGTTTGTATCTGTTCAAAATCTCATAACTTCTAAGGATTTTTTTTTTTTTTTGGTTTTTTGAGACACAGGGTTTCTCTGTGTAGCTTTGCGCCTTTCCTGGAACTCACTTGGTAGCCCAGGCTGGCCTCGAACTCACAGAGATCCGCCTGGCTCTGCCTCCCA